ATCAGCACGCACCGCAGCAACCAGCATCAGCACCATCAGCACCTGCAGCACCAGCAACAGCAGCAGCAGCAGCAGCAGCAGCAGCAGCAGCAGCAGCAAACCAGCAGCAGCACACAGCACCACACACCGTAGCAGACAGCAGCAGCACAGCAGCATCACAAAGCAGCAGCAGCAGCACCAGCAGCAGCAGCAGCACCAGCAGCAGCAGCACCCAGCGCATCAGCACCAGCACACCAGCAGCAGCGCAGAGCAGAGCAGCAGCAGCAGCAGCAGCAAGCACCCAGCAGCAAGCAGCATCAACACCACACACAGCAGCAGCAGTCAGCGCACCAGCAGCAGCATGCAACCATCAAGCAGGCAGCAGCACCAGCAGCAGCAGCACCGCAGCACCACAGCACCAGCACAGACAGGCAGCAGCAATCAGCAAGCAGCAGCAGAACCAGCAGCAGCCAGCAGATGCACCAGCAGCAGCAGCAACCAGCAGCAGCAGCACCAGCCAGCACCAGCAGCACCAGCAGCAGCAGAGCACACAGCATGCAGCAGGCACAGCACAGCAGCAGCAGCACCAAGCACCACAGCAGCAGCATCATCAGCACCAGCAGCAGCAGCAGCAGCAGCACCAAGCAAGCAGCAGCAGCACCAGCACCAGCAGCAAAGCAGCGAGCAGCACAGGCGAGCAGCAGCAGCAGCACCAGCAGCAGCACCAGCAGCAGCAGCAGCACAGCAGCAGCAGCAGCAGCAGCAGCATGCAGTCACACCCAGCAGCAGCACCAGCAGCACACCAGCAGCAGCAGCACACCCAGCAGCAGCAAGCAACCATCAGTCAGCAGCAGCACCAGCAGCACCAGCAGCAGCACCACACCCACCAGCAGCACACCAGCAGCATCAGCACCAGCAGCAGCATCAGACTAACACAGGTTATACCTTTGCCCACATCTTGGACGTTTATGGTCTGGTGGGTCAAGGTGACTGATGGCGCAAAACCCTTTCAGTAGTACACTTACTGAAGTGTCTCCAGTCCTTCACACTTATGGAGATCAAGGTCAAGTGTTCACGTTCCATACAAAACACTGTGACACATGTGTTCACACCCACTCCTACAACACTGTACACAAGTGTTCACTACTACAACACTGTACTAAACAGTGTTCACTACTACAAAACACAGGTACAACAAGTGGTTCACTAACAACAACAACTGTACACAAGTGTTTCTCTACTACAACACTGTAACACAAGTTGTTCACTACTACAACACTGTACACAAGTGTTCACTCCTACAACACTGTACACAATGTTCACTCCTACAACACTGTACACAATTGTTCACTCCTACAACATGTAACACAAGTGTTCACTCCTCCTAAACACAGTACACAAGTTGTTCACGCATCACCTACAACACTGTACACAAGGTTCACTTCCATACAACACTGTACACAAGTGTTCCACTCCTAACAACCACACTGTACCAAGTGTTCCACTCCTAACAACAACAGTACACAAGTTCACTCCTACAACCCTGTACACAAGTGTTCACCCACTCCTACAACACGTGAAACACAAGTGTTTCACTTCCTACAACAATTGAGAAAACACAAGTGTTCACTTATCCTACAACACGGGTACACAAGGGTTTCACCTCCAACAACACTGTACCAAGTGTTCACTTCCTACAACACTGTACACAAGTGTTGCACTACTACAAACAGCTGTACACAAGTGTATCACCTCCTACAAACACTGGTACACAAGTGTTCACTCCTACAACACTGTACACAAGAGTTTCACTACAAACACTGTCCACAAGTGTAACTCCTACAACAACTGTACCACAAGTGTTCACTCCTACAACACTGTAACACAAGTGTTCACAACTACCAACACTGTAAACACAAGTGTTCACACCTACAACACTGTAACCCAAGTGTTTCACTACTACAACACTGTACACAAGTGATTCACTACTACAACACTGTACACAAGTGATCACTACAAACACTGTACACAAGTGTTCACATACTACAACACTGGTAAACAAGTGTTCACACTACAACACGTACCAAGTGTTCACTACTACAACACTGTAAAAAGTGTTTCCCCACTCTCCTACAACGACTGACCCAAGTGATTCCCTACTACAACACAGACACAGTGTTCACAACTACAACACTGGTACACAATTGTTCACTACTACAAACCCTGTAACACAAGTGTTTCACTCCTACAACACGGTACACAATGTTCACATCCTCCAACACTGTACACAAGTAGTTTCACTCCTACACCACAGTACACAGTTGATCACTACTACATACAACACTGTACACAAGTGTTCACATAACTACAACACTATACAACAAGTGTTTTTCACCCTATCCCTACAACACTGTACCCAAGTGTTCACTCCTACAACAACGTACAACAAGTGTTTCACTACTACAACACTGTACACAATTGATTCACTCCTACAACACTATAACTCAAGTGTTCTTACACGATCCTACCACAACTATACACACTGTTCCCTCCTACCACACTGTACCCAAGTGTTCACTACTACCACACTGTACACAAGAGTTTCACTCCTCCAACACTGGGATTTTTACACAAGTGTTCACAGCTCCTACAACACTGTACACAAGTGTTTCACTCCTACCACCCTGTACCCAAGTGTTCACAACTACAACACTAAGCCCAAGATGTTCACTACAAACACTGTCACAAGTGTTTCACTACTACAACACTATACACAATGGTTCACGTCCTACAACACAGTCAACAAGTGTTCACTCCTACAACACTGTACACAATGTGTTCCCCTCCTACAAAACACAGTACCCCAAGGTTCACTTCCTACAACACCTATACACAGTGATCACGGGTCCTACAACACTGTACACAATCTGTTCACTTCTACAACACTGTACACAAGACTTCACCTCCTACAAACACTGTACAACAAGTGTTCACACTATCCTAACAACACTGACACAACAAGTGTTCACTCTCCTACAATCACTGTACACAAGTGTTCACTCCTACAACCACAGTACACAAGTGTTTCACTCCTACAACACATGTACACAAGTGTTCACACCTGAAGTCCTACAACACTGTACACAAGTGTTACACCCTCCTATCAACACTAGTACACAAGTGATTCACTCCTACAACATATACACAAGTGTTCACTTCCTACAACACTGTACACAAGTGTTCACTTCCTACAACACTTGAACACAACAAGTGTTCCCTACAACAACACTGTACACAAGTGATATCACTCCTACAACCACTAACACAAGTGTTCCCCCTCCAATCCTACAACACTGTACACCAAGTGTTCCACTCCTACAAACACTGTATCACAAGTGTTCACTCCTAAAAACACTGTACACAAGTGTTCACTCCTACAACACTATAACACAAGTGTTCACTAACCTACAACACTGTCCACAAGTGTTTCACTACTACAACACGTACACAAGGATCACTCCTACAACAACTGTACACCCAATTGTTCACTCTACACCACTGAACACAAGCTTCACTCCTACAACACTGTACACACAAGTGTTCACTTCCTACAACACTGACACAAGTAGTTTACTCCTACTAAAACACTGTACAACAAGTGTTCACGTTCCACAACACTGATACCAAGTTTTCACTACAACAACACTATACACAAGTGTTTCACACTACCAACACAGTAACACAAGTGTTCACTCCTACAACACTGTACACAAGTGTTCACATCCTCCAAAACACTATACACAAGTGTTCATCGTCCTACAACACTAAACACAATTGTCACTCCTACACCACCTGTACACAAGTGTTTTCACTCCTATCAACCTGTACAACAAGTGTACACTCCTACCACACTAATACACAATTGTTCACTTCCTACAACACAGTACACAAGTGTTCACCTCCCTACAAACACTATAACAACCAAGTGTTCCACTCCTACAACACTGTACACAAGTTTCACATCCTACAACACTATACAACAAGTGTTCACTACTATTACAACACTGTACACAAGTGTTCACTACTTACAACCCCCCCACTGTACACAAGTTTTCACTACTACAACACTGTACACAAGTGTTTTCAACTAGCTACAACACTGTACACAAGTTCACTACTACAACAAACCTGTACACAAGTGTTCACTTACTACAACACTGACTCAAGTGTCACATACTTTACAACCACGTACACAAGATGTTCACTCCTACAACACTGTACACAACTGTTTCACTCCTAAACACTGTACACAAGTGTCACCTTCCTACTACACTGTATACACAAGAGTTCACTTCCTACAACACTGTACACCAAGTTTCACCTCACAACAACCTGTACACAAGTGTTCACTACAACAACACTGTACAACTAGGTTCACCTCCAACAACACTAGTAACACAAGTGGGTTTCTCGTTCCTACAACACTGTAACAAAGTGTTTATTTCACTTACCTACAACACAGACACAAGTGTTCACTCCTACAACCACTGTACACAAGTGATCACTACTAAACACTGTTACACAAGTTTCACTCCTAAAAAGGGGACAACACTGTACCCATGAGAGTAATGTTTGGTGTGGATTTGAAGCTTAAAAATTAGACAGGTTTCTAAATGTATAATTCAAAGGACTGGGGAGGAGTTGAGGTGGTCTAGACATTAAGATAGGATAGAGCAGAATAGGATGACCGTTGGATGGGAGGTAGGATGGTTAGGGGTCATCCCAGGAAGTGCAAGAAGGAGTCTAACAGCTAAACGGATATTCTATAATACCTTAACTCCCCCCCCCCACTTAGTGCAGACAATACACAAATAACCTGACAAGGTTTTGGTCCCACTTAGACCATTAACAAGTCACAATAACACAAGAAGGTAAGGGAGCCTGTATATATAGGAGAGGAGGACAAGGAGAAGACAGAGATGAAGAAGAACGTGGAGAAGTGGTAGATGTAATTCTGGCAGTGAAAGTCACGGTTTTCTACCTTTGTCTATCACTTGTGTCAAAATCTCACTTTCACAGCACTGCAACCTTTGTTCACTTCAACAGGACAAGTTCTACGACACGTCTTACGACGTGGGAGACAAGCACCTGCAGTGTGGCAGACGTGTTGACGTGCTTAAGTTCTGGACCATGTGGAAGGCTAAGGTAAGTTAGCTCTATCTGTCTACACGGGGTTCTACAAGGTTAGGTTAAGGTTCCCAACTTTATTTGCAAGGTAAGAGGTGTTATCTACACCAGCTCTCTCTCTCTCTCTCTCTCTCTCTCTCTCTCTCTCTCTCTCTCTCTCTCTCTCTCTCTCTCTCTCTCTCTCTCTCTCTCTCCCTACCTATCTATCTGTTGCAATAATCTCTCTGTGTTGATATTTTAAGTCTGTGAGACACTTTCTCCTCTCTCTCCCTCTCTTTCTATCTTTCACTTTCCCCCTCCCCTGGCCCTTTTCTCACTCCCTCATATCTTCCAGGGCACCACAGGTCTGGAAAAACACGTGGAACGGGTGTTTGAAATGTCTCAGTTATTCGCTGATAAGATCAGGTTCAGAGAAGGCTTCAAGTTGCTACTGGAACCAGAATGCACCAACGTGTGCTTCTGGTACGAACCACCATCTCTTCGGACGAAACGTGCTCACCCAGAGTACAACAAGCTTCTCAATGCTGTAAGTATCGTGGGTCAGTTTTGAATTCTGTGACCTCACAGCTTCCAGGTCGTCGGAAATATGGCTGTCTAGATTTAGTTTAATATCATTATGCACCCCATACCCATCCTGTGGGCGGTAGTCAAAAGATTGCAGAGGTACATAATAGGCCCAGGAACTAGACCCTCAAAGTTTTGAGGTCTATGATTCGTTACAAGGGTAACGAATCATCTACAAGTCTATACATGGTCACAATCATGAACAAATTGCAAAGCAATGGGCCATGCACAGGTCACAACTGTAATGAGTTGTTAAAATATTAATTAGGTCACACACACACACACTAATGTCTCCTTGTCCACCCGCCTCCAGGTCGCCCCGAAGATCAAGGAGAGGATGGTGAAGACCGGGTCAATGATGATTACTTACCAGCCACTCAGAGGTCAACCTAACTTCTTCAGGCTGGTGTTGCAGAACTCCCAGGTCAACGAACATGACATCAACTATTTTATTGCACAGATTGAACACCTGGGGAGAGATCTCTAGTGGAATTAAACGGTTCACAGAACCCACAAGTTGATAAACATGTCCAATAGCTACATAGTAGCCTTCTTCGGGCGAATACAGAGCCAGCAGGTTTGGTAGTGAAATGAAGGTGATGGGATCAGGCCATCAACCTCGGAGGAATGGCATTTGAGGGGGGTCAGTCCCCTGCAACGTCTTCGAAATCTTCCAAATCACTTTCGACAGTATTTAAGACACGGTTCTCATGCCTCAACTTCACGTCGTTCCAGACCATGGAGCTGGACTCTTCTCCAGACTGAGGGACTGACCACCTTGTTCCAGACCATGGAGCTGAACTGTTCTCCAGGCTGAGGGACTGACCACCATGTTCCAGACCATGGAGCTGGACTCTTCTCCAGACTGAGGGACTGACCACCTTGTTCCAGACCATGGAGCTGGACTCTTCTCCAGACTGAGGGACTGACCACCTTGTTCCAGACCATGGAGCTGGACTCTTCTCCAGACTGAGGGACTGACCACCTTGTTCCACACCATGGTGCTGAACTCTTCTCCAGGCTGAGGTACTGACCACCATGTTCCAGACCATGGAGCTGAATTCTTCTCCAGGCTGAGGTACTGACCACCTTGTTCCAGACCATGGAGCTGAACTCTTCTCCAGGCTGAGGTACTGACCACCTTGTTCCAGACCATGGTGCTGGACTCTTCTCCAGGCTGAGGTACTGACCACCTTGTTCCAGACCATGGAGCTGAACTCTTCTCCAGGCTGAGGTACTGACCACCTTGTTCCAGACCATGGAGCTGAACTCTTCTCCAGGCTGAGGTACTGACCACCTTGTTCCAGACCATGGAGCTGAACTCTTCTCCAGGCTGAGGTACTGACCACCTTGTTCCAGACCATGGAGCTGAACTCTTCTCCAGGCTGAGGTACTGACCACCATGTTCCAGACCATGGAGCTGAACTCTTCTCCAGGCTGAGGTACTGACCACCTTGTTCCAGACCATGGAGCTGAACTCTTCTCCAGGCTGAGGTACTGACCACCTTGTTCCAGACCATGGAGCTGAACTGTTCTCCAGGCTGAGGGACTGACCACCATGTTCCAGACCATGGAGCTGAACTCTTCTCCAGGCTGAGGGACTGACCACCTCAAACACTATTTCTCCAAGGCTAATAAACTGATTACATCTGTGTCTCACTGCTACATCTGCTGCCTCTGTATTCGACTAACCAAGCCCACAGAAATTTGGACTAATCAGTCCCTCAGCCTTGAGCTTTATGTCAGAACTCTGTTAGACCTTTATCAACCTCTGTGTTAGACCTTTATCAACCTCTGTGTTAGACCTTTATCAACCTATGTGTTAGACCTTTATCAACGTCTGTGTTAGACCTTTATCAACCTCTGTGTTAGACCTTTATCAACCTCTGTGTTAGACCTTTATCAACCTCTGTGTTAGACCTTTATCAACCTCTGTGTTAGACCTTTATCAACCTATGTGTTAGACCTTTATCAACGTCTGTGTTAGACCTTTATCAACGTCTGTGTTAGACCTTTATCAACGTCTGTGTTAGACCTTTATCAACCACTGTGTTAGACCTTTATCAACCACTGTGTTAGACCTTTATCAACCACTGTGTTAGACCTTTATCAACCACTGTGTTAGACCTTTATCAACCACTGTGTTAGACCTTTATCAACCACTGTGTTAGACCTTTATCAATATATTCCCTGGTACACTGTCGTCACCCAACCAACGGTCGAGAAATATTAAACTGTACCATTAAACAGCATTATCATATATATTTTTCTAGTCATACGAGCCAAAATAAATTATATTTGATACTAAACAGTTTTATCATATATATCGCCATACGAGGACCTAGGTAGAATTTCTATTTTTAATAATCTTGATTTAAGACGTATTACGTATATTGGGTAAAGATTCTGGATATATGGACCGGGTATATATACTGAGAAGTGTATATTCCTTTGTGTATATATTCTGGGAGCTTCTAATGCCTGTTTAAAGTATTTCGAGTATTTTTCTTTGGTGTTGAGAGGGTTCCGGCCAGTCTTAATGACCCTGGTGTAGTAGATAGACTTTAAACCCCATTAACCAACCAACCAGTCTTAATGACCCTGGTGTAGTAGATAGACTTTAAACCCCATTAACCAACCAACCAGTCTTAATGACCCTGGTGTAGTAGATAGACTTTAAACCCCATTAACCAACCAACCAGTCTTAATGACCCTGGTGTAGTAGATAGACTTTAAACCCCATTAACCAACCAACCAGTCTTAATGACCCTGGTGTAGTAGATAGACTTTAAACCCCATTAACCAACCAACCAGTCTGAATGACCCTGGTGTAGTAGATAGACTTTAAACCCCATTAACCAACCAACCAGTCTTAATGACCCTGGTGTAGTAGATAGACTTTAAACCCCATTAACCAACCAACCAGTCTTAATGACCCTGGTGTAGTAGATAGACTTTAAACCCCATTAACCAACCAACCAGTCTTAATGACCCTGGTGTAGTAGATAGACTTTAAACCCCATTAACCAACCAACCAGTCTTAATGACCCTGGTGTAGTAGATAGACTTTAAACCCCATTAACCAACCAACCAGTCTTAATGACCCTGGTGTAGTAGATAGACTTTAAACCCCATTAACCAACCAACCAGTCTTAATGACCTGGTGTAGTAGATAGACTTTAAAACCCCATTAACCAACCAACCAGTCTTAATGACCCTGGTGTAGTAGATAGACTTTAAACCCCATTAACCAACCAACCAGTCTTAATGACCCTGGTGTAGTAGATAGACTTTAAACCCCATTAACCAACCAACCAGTCTTAATGACCCTGGTGTAGTAGATAGACTTTAAAACCCCATTAACCAACCAACCAGTCTTAATGACCCTGGTGTAGTAGATAGACTTTAAACCCCATTAACCAACCAACCAGTCTTAATGACCCTGGTGTAGTAGATAGACTTTAAACCCCATTAACCAACCAACCAGTCTTAATGACCCTGGTGTAGTAGATAGACTTTAAACCCCATTAACCAACCAACCAGCCTTAATGACCCTGGTGTAGTAGATAGACTTTAAACCCCATTAACCAACCAACCAGTCTTAATGACCCTGGTGTAGTAGATAGACTTTAAACCCCATTAACCAACCAACCAGTCTTAATGACCCTGGTGTAGTAGATAGACTTTAAACCCCATTAACCAACCAGCCAGTCTTAATGACCCTGGTGTAGTAGATAGACTTTAAACCCCATTAACCAACCAACCAGTCTTAATGACCCTGGTGCAGTAGATAGACTTTAAACCCCATTAACCAACCAACCAGTCTTAATGACCCTGGTGCAGTAGATAGACTTTAAACCCCATTAACCAACCAACCAGTCTTAATGACCCTGGTGTAGTAGATAGACTTTTAAACCCCATTAACCAACCAACCAGTCTTAATGACCCTGGTGTAGTAGATAGACTTTAAACCCCATTAACCAACCAACCAGTCTTAATGACCCTGGTGTAGTAGATAGACTTTAAACCCCATTAACCAACCAACCAGTCTTAATGACCCTGGTGTAGTAGATAGACTTTAAACCCCATTAACCAACCAACCGTTCTTAATGACCCTGGTGTAGTAGATAGACTTTAAACCCCATTACCAACCAGCCAGTCTTAATGACCCTGTGCAGTAGATAGACTTTAAACCCCATTAACCAACCACCAGTCTTAATGACCCTGGTTAGTAGATAGACTTTAAACCCCATTAAACAACCAACCAGTCTTAATGACCCTGGTGTAGTAGATAGACTTTAAACCCCATTAACCACCAACCATTAATGACCCTGTGTAGTAGATAGACTTTAAACCCATTAACCAACCAACCAGTCTTAATGACCCTGGTGTAGTAGATAGACTTTAAACCCCATTAACCAACCAACCAGTCTTAATGACCCTGGTGTAGTAGATAGACTTTAAACCCCATTAACCAACCAACCAGTCTTAATGACCCTGTGTAGTAGATAGACTTTAAACCCCATTAACCAACCAACCAGTCTTAATGACCCTGGTGTAGTAGATAGACTTTAAACCCCATTAACCAACCAACCAGTCTGAATGACCCTGGTGTAGTAGATAGACTTTAAACCCCATTAACCAACCAACCAGTCTTAATGACCCTGGTGTAGTAGATAGACTTTAAACCCCATTAACCAACCAACCAGTCTTAATGACCCTGGTGTAGTAGATAGACTTTAAACCCCATTAACCAACCAACCAGTCTTAATGACCCTGGTGTAGTAGATAGACTTTAAACCCCATTAACAACCAACGCTTAAACCTGTTGAGATAGACTTTAAACCCATTAACCAACCAACAGTCTAATGACCCTGGTGTAGTAGATAGACTTTAAACCCCATTAACCAACCAACCAGTCTGAATGACCCTGGTGTAGTAGATAGACTTTAAACCCCATTAACCAACCAACCAGTCTTAATGACCCTGGTGTAGTAGATAGACTTTAAACCCCATTAACCAACCAACCAGTCTTAATGACCCTGGTGTAGTAGATAGACTTTAAACCCCATTAACCAACCAACCAGTCTTAATGACCCTGGTGTAGTAGATAGACTTTAACCCCCCATTAACCAACCAACCAGTCTTAATGACCCTGGTGTAGTAGATAGAATTTAAACCCCATTAACCAACCAACCAGTCTTAATGACCCTGGTGTAGTAGATAGACTTTAAACCCCATTAACCAACCAACCAGTCTTAATGACCCTGGTGTAGTAGATAGAATTTAAACCCCATTATCCAATTTCTATGGCAGATTTATAGTGAAGAATAAGTTAACTATTACCCGACTGTTGCACATGTATCTTAATCTTCTGGTGTCGGTATTTTATACTCTTTTCAACAATCGGTGGAGGTAGGTTATACCCAAGAGATGGGTCGGTCTATGGGTATGCCCATTTCTGTTTTTAGTATGTTCTCTTAGGCTGTGTAATGGAAATTTTGGTGTTTTGGCCCCCCTTACACATCCACTCTCACCGTCCTCCTCGCCGAAAGTCCTGCCTTGTTGTAGAGACTGATTCTTTTATGGGAATCTAATTTGTTGTGGCAGCTATGGTCTAATTTTATACCTGCCCTCACACACTCCTGCCCTTACACAGCCCTACCCTTACACAGCCCTACCCTTACACAGCCCTACCCTTACACAGCCCTACCCTTACACAGCCCTACCCTTACACAGCCCTACCCTTACACAGCCCTACCCTTACACAGCCCTACCCTTACACAGCCCTACCCTTACACAGCCCTACCCTTACACACCCTACCCTTACACAGCCCTACCCTTACACAGCCCTACCCTCACAAAGCCCTACCCTTACACAGCCCTACCCTTACACAGCCCTACCCTCACACAGCCCTACCCTCACACAGCCCTACCCTTACACAGCCCTACCCTCACACAGCCCTACCCTCACACAGCCCTACCCTTACACAGCCCTACCCTCACACAGCCCTACCCTTACACAGCCCTACCCTTACACA